GGAACAGAGGGTTATCAAGGGTCCCTTCAGTCGTTGAGTCCTACCCCCCGTTCCCATTTAGTCAAGGATTATACATAATCCCAAAGTGTCCTCAAAGCCTCTGTTCATGAACTCTCAGCTGCTGAACATCCTGCAGCAAACTCTAGACTTGGAGACATAACTGTAGCTGCTACAAGGAGAGAGCAGGAGCAATCAAGGGCACCATTAGCACTGGTATGTTCATTGCAGCTTTACGTGGTTGCTAGCACATGTGTAATAAAACCAACTTCCCCTCATCACATGGTGAACAAAAAACTATTGTCTCCAGATTGGTCATGGGGAAAAAGCAAACAAAAAGAGACCGTGTGAAAGTCAGTCTAGATTTAGCAAATGTGTTTCTGACTGAATTTCTCCTCTCTTAGCTTGGATTGAAGTCCAAATTGTTTATCAAATATTTCAGCATTACAGGAGGTGGAGGTCCATGCTGAGGGTGATGAAGAGAGCGCAGCCCTGTGGAAGTGATGGGCTCGAGGGTCCCTTCCCCTCTCATTAGCTCAGGCTCAGCTGTTTCCCTGTTTCCAGACTGAAAGGAGAGCTGAGAGAGGGGACTTTTATTTCCCTGGGGACAGAGACATCATCAATTATCTGCTGCAAGCTGTCAGTGACTAGGGAGGAGAAAGAGTACTGATGGGATTTCACCTTATCCCTTGACTCTGCTTATGGGCTCATCATTCATCTGCCGTGCACTTAGCATGGGCAATACTAATTATATTAATTATGTTCCTACACAGCGCACGCTTATATTAGCAGTAAGCAGACTGGTGACTTTTTAAAATGAAACATCAGTGGTTCATTAGCTATATAGATTTAAAAATGTAAGCGTACTCATTGCATCCGCTGCTGAGATGGATCTCTCGAATCTCAAAAGCATTTAATACCACTTTAGATGTGCAATATGCTTTATATTGAGAGCAAAATGCATACTGTATCTAGAAGACAGTGGCATTATATCAGGTAACTACTAAATGTAGACTTAGAAACTTGGTCACTGCCTTGAGTAGCACCAAAATCCCCTTAGTAGTGTTCATCTATAGGGATACTGGTCAGGTCAGCAAGAGATCTGGTTAAGTCCTTGTCGGCTGAGCCTTATTGAAATTATACTAGTGACTACATCTATGCATATAATCAGAATACAATTGTATTCTTAAATTCAGCGGTAGGTTTATTTAGTCAATAGCACAGAGGTCTGTGAGTGGTTTAAGGGACAGGAAAAGAAATCCCCTTCTACAAAGTATATTACAACAGTGTGACAAATACTCATCACTCAAAGTGTATTTGCTAGATGTAGGTATCATAAATAATCCATCAACGTGGTGCCTGTATGCAGCCACTGTCTTTGTGAATCTGGGCTAAGGGGCTGCTGCTGCTAGGCAGAGTCGGTGTGATTTTGTGAGGTCAGTTGGAAATATCTGAGATGTCAGCACTGTAAGTTTAAATCTTAAGAACAGATTGTGTTTGTACAATAGAGTCAACCTCTAACCTGACAAATTGAAAAGTAACTGAACAGAACTGGGAGATTTCATCAGTTCTGACTCTGTTACCTCCTTTTATCACAGTTTTCTTCTGTACAGAAATTAAACATACATTAATCACCAAGATTATATATCATATATAGAAAGAGCACAAGCCTATCTGGGCTCTGAGTTCTGACCATTTTATGCAAAAGCAAAGCAGAAGTAGCTCCAGGCAGGTCTTCAATTTGCATTTCAATTGCACTTCTTCCACACTTCCTTCTGGTATCTTGAGGAAAGGCATAGCTACTAAAGCATTGCAAAGCCATGAGTGCTTGAGTAAAAAAAAAAAAAAAAAAAAAAAAAAAATTCCTTTTCCAAAATTTTTTTTTCAGTTTCCCCAAAGCCAAAGAAAAACCTAAACGCTTCCAGTGCATGTGTTTGTGGTCACACGTAGACACAAGGATTTTCTTTGGAGTGAAACCCATTCATCTTTCATTCACATTAATACAGAAGATACTCATTGTGTGGGAGATGTTAGCATTTTGAGAGGTGTTTTGATTCTAAAGTAATAAAGTTTTTATAGCCAGTGTGGTTATGACTAGTACCCAACTTCAAGTTTGGTTTTGTTCCCCTTATTTTCTGAGGAAGGGCTGACGTTTACGCAGTTAAATCTCCTCTGTCAGTGTTGTTTAGCTTCTACCCTCATAGATCTCCAGATGCTGTCCTGGGGGGTGTTAATCATACTGTCAAACAGGGCAAGTGCTGAACACTTGCAAGGGCTTTTCTGCTCCTTGGCACTCTGGGCCCAACTTTTAGTGCAACTCCTGTATGCAAATGGTAGCGTACAGCATGCAGCATAACTGACTTAAGGTTATTTGTGGGCGGTTTCCGCTTTGTCTCTTGGGAGGTGGTTCCTGATGGGGTTTGAACTGTTAGATGTCAGCTGATGTGGGTAGATGCTGTACTGTTTACAGGGATGCAAGGTTTGATCCTGGAAGCTGCAAAGTGGCTTTTGCTAAGTGCTGGGTCTCAGCCCTGCAGAGGTGTGCTGAGAGCCTTAAGGAGCTAGGGGTGAGTTGTCCAGGTTGGATGGAGCTTTGGGCAACCTGGTCTAGTCGAAGATGCCCCTGCCCGTGGCAGGGGGGTTGGAACTAGATGGTCTTTGAGGTCCCTTCCAACCCAAACCATTCTATGGTTCTATGAGTGTAGGGCTAAATTTGGGCTCTCATTAACCAAAGACTCAAGTATTTCTGGCTGTGGCTCAAGCATGTTTACCCCTGTGTGAATTAGCCAAAGCACATCCTCACTGCGGTTCCTCCTGAGCCTACGAGGAGCAGCTGTGCCCGAGCCCCTCCTGCTCCCACCCTCTCCCTTCCCCCCGGTCTCTCCTGGCCGTGGGTTTCTGCTCAGCGCAGGTGCTGATGGCACTGGTCTGCCTGAGAGCAACTTCTCTGTCCCATGGGTTTATCCTCACTGTGGATAAACTGGCACGGCCCTGAGCTGGACGTGCTGCTTCCAGGCTAGGCCAGGGAGAGGAATGGTGGAGCACCATTGTCTGCTGGGCGCAGTAGAGGAGAAAACTGGCCTTAATTGCAGTCCAGGTGGTATCTCTGATGGCCTTCCAGTCACAGGGGGCAGCTTTTGCTTCTGAAACAGAAAGATTTATGCCGATTTGGTTGTGCAATGGAGAAAACTTCATGTTACCAGTAGCACTGGCAATGTTGGGACTGGAAGAAATATTTCTGGCAGAGCTCTTGCAGAAATATTCCTGACAAAGCAGCTCCTCGGGCAATGCAGTCCTCTCCACAGAGAAGCAGTAGCTCACCACGACGCCTAATGTCACCTCAAAGAGTGTTTGCCCAGCTTAGTGCTACAAATTAAACATAACTGGACAGCACACGACATTTCCCCATGTATTTGCTTTCTGCAGTGAGTGTTTGCTGTGCAGGCACCATGTAGGTCTGGTGCTTATCTTTGATAAATACGTTCAGTTGCGAAGGCTTACATTACAAATCTGTGGCCTTCACAAGTGGGCTGCTTTTTTTGGGTGCTCGCGATCATTGCTCGTCTGCAGGGATGGGTTGGTGGTTTAGACTTGCTCTCACCATCTCGGTGTTGTAGGTCACGGTTTCACAGAGCATCAGCTCCATGGTCTGCAAGCAGCTCCAGTCCTTGCCACGCCGTCCTGCCTCGGCACCGAACTCACCCCTCGGCCCAGCTGTTGGAGTGAAATGGACTGGGGGCAGGCCAGGTCCAGCTTTTAAAATAAATGGAGAAAAAAATTGTTAAAACCCCCCCCTTTTTTTTTTCATTTTTTTGTCAGGTTATTTTTAAGCTGGCCTAGTTTCTCAGTGCAATGGTGCTAGCAGCCGTGCTGGCACCCCGGAAAGGAAGGAGGCAGTGAGAGAACGGGTCCTGCAGGACAGGGGAACCAGTCCCTGGCAGCACCCACTGACCAGTGCCCCCTTCTCCAGCATCCCCTTCCCCTCCCGCTCCCTGCCCTGATGCCTGGCCTCAGCTGGCCCTCATACTCCTCAGACGGCTCGGTGAGGCCATTCACCTCACTGGAGCAGCGCAAGAGCAAGACAGCAAAAAAATCTGCTTCGTTGTCTGCCGAGGGCAGCAAGCACCCAGGGTTGAGACAAGGAAAACAGCAGATCAAGGAGGAAGGGAAGGGGAAGAGGGAAGCATCCCCCTTTCCCCTCGTGGCAGCAGCAACCTGATGGAGCTGTTGTGAACCACGGCACTTTGTGGGTGGGTTTGAAATCACCTTATTTTGGTGTAGAAGCCAAGCTGGGCATTGAAAATGGCACACACACAGAGCAAGAGTTTCCTCCCCGGGTGCTGAGCCCCCCCCGGACACATGAAATGCAGAGCATACGGTGCCTGGAGCTTGTTTACTCGCCTCTGTTTTGGTGGAGAGCATCCTTCTCTCATCACGGCACGTACACCCACCGCGTCTACCTTCTCAGCAGCCAGGAGGGAACAGCCACGGGGAAAATGAACAAGGATCAAAGGCAAGCTGCAGGACTTGATTCATGCTGAATGAACCCTCTTGTTTTATTTTATTATATGTAATAACACTTTGTGGTGTTGGTGAGTGCCCCTTAAGAGCTCTGCACACTCCCAAAATAATCTCCAGGACACCTTGATTTAGCAGATGGGGACACCAGGGCAGGGGGAGAAGCATGCCAAGCATGGCAGAAATCAGGGATGGCATTGGGATTATCACACTGTGGCATCTGGTTTCCAGTCCCACATCCAGACCCTCTTTGTGTCTCTGGCACATTTTCAGTAGACCCTGGGCTATAAGTCAGAAATGAAAATAGGACCATTTTATTTTTGAGGCAGGACAATTTGACAACACAAACAGATTCGTGCCCTGGCTCACGGCCCCTCATGGGGTTCAGTTACCCCCTACCACGACTAATGGACACCAGGCAGTCCTGGCTTACTGCCTGCCTGCTACCCTCCATCGTCGCTGACCTGCTTTCTGTTGTTTTTCAGGAATATCTTCCAGGCTCCCTGAAATCATGTCAATAGGATCACATTCATTCTCTCCAGGAGGTCCTAATGGGATTATTAGAAGCCAGTCCTTCGCTGGCTTCAGCGGGCTTCAGGAGAGACGCTCCAGGCAAGTGCTGTGCTCTCTAAGGGGAATTTCCAAATCGGGCCCCTGGGGTTTAGGGGGTGAAGGTGGAAAAGAGGTGAGAGAGGACTTCCTTCTCTCTGACTTGCCAAAGAAAGCCTTCTAGGCTAAAATCTCTCAATATATTGTTTGTATAACTAAGCTGTTACCCTCTGTCTTAGCTACCAAGTGCCTGGTTGCCTCTCCCCCATTAATGCAGGGCTTCCTCACATGCCTCAGAGCTGTAAGAGAATTTCAGAGAATCATTTTAATTTACTAACTTATGCAGTGATCTTTTCAACGTGTGAAATGTGCAGGAACATGATACACTTCCCACCGCCCTCAGTTTAAGACGGTTGCTACCTGAAAGACAGTTTTCTCATTGCCACGCTGCTATGAATTCAAAGCTACTCCGTTTCCCTTGCAGGGCTGCCTTCATGTCCTGCTGGAAACAGGGCAGAGCTCGGCTGCAGAACCTTTCCTTGCACCGCCCTTTAGCTAGGCAGTACTTAGGGCTTTGAGTCAGGCACTTACCAAGTCATCCAGTCCCTGCTACCCCCAGAGGCTACTTTACAAGCAATTTTAACTTGTGTGAAGACTCTGAGTGCCAGACCACCAGTTAGCAATTGAGGAGGAATGGCAGGCAAAGGGTCCTTGTCCAAAGGCAAGAGCAGTGGCGTGATGCTGTCCTCCAGACACACTCTTAACCGTGCCCCAATCTTTCTTAGGAGCCCCCAGGCTTTATGCCTGAGATTATCTGGGTTCCCCTTTGTTTGGATGTAGCTCGGCCCTTTTTATGGCTGTGGCTGAGCAATATGAGGCAGGACAGGCATGGTATAAGACAGAGAAACATCTGATGAGCCTCAGACTCAGCCTGACATTTCCAGACCGGCATTCGTATCTCAGCAAGGCAACTGGCACATCAAAAGCTGACAGCACGTGTCCCAGGCTTAACCTGTAAACAAAGGCAGGCCTTTATATGGCAGGCACAGAAGCAGATTCGTTTCTGCTAGCAGAGATAATATCAGAAGATTTCTTCAAGCCACGCTCCTTTGAGATCATGATTTATAGGGCTTTCCTCCTCTTTGATGTTCATTTTGCAGGTGTAACTCCTTTATTGAAAATTCCTCTGCACTCAAGAAGCCCCAAGCAAAGGTGAAGAAGATGCATAATTTGGGCCATAAGAACAGCACCACACCCAAAGAGCCCCAGCCTAAAAGGATGGAAGAGGTCTATCGAGCCCTGAAGAATGGCCTGAAGTAAGAGCCCTTATCCTGCTTGTTGATTGAAGGTTTCTATGACATTTTAGAGCCTAGAGAAATATATCACAGGAATAGGGAAGGGATCCTTAATCATAGGAGAGGATTGTACACCTCTTGGAGCCTGGATTTTAACACTTAAGATCTGAAATATTTGTACAGGAAACAGGAATACAGGGGGCAGAATCCCATTTCCGCTCAAATTGCTAGGAAAGCTCCCAAAGGCTGGGATTTCAACATTAGATTTTTTTTTTTCCCTCAGAATTTCCTAGAGTCCTATCAGAGGCTCATATCGCCCTTAAGATAAAGTCCCAGATGATAATGGGGCTTTTACCAGCCAGATACAAAAGCAGTGACTGGAAGCCACCAGCCCATAAACTAAGCAGCAGATTAGCTTACTTGAAACTGGTCATTCAGCGTAAGGAGAACACCAAGTTCTTATACACAGCTAAATAAGTGACTCCTATTTATTCCCAAAAAGGCAGCAGGGAGCTGCTTTTAGGACAGATGATCATAAATGAGTTTTTGTCAGAACACAGATCGAATGGGGAAAGCCATTTGTGGTGCAGATTTTCTTTTAGGATGGTCAGCAGCCAGCTCGGTATGTGCTGCAGAGCTCATGCATCCCTTCTCTGGTTTGTGTTTACAGCGAGTATCTGGAAGTTCACCAGACAGAGCTGGATAAGTTGACTACTCAGTTAAAAGACATGAAAAGAAACTCACGCCTGGTACGTGTCACACTTTTTCATCATGCACAATAACCTTCTCGAGGTGCTGGAGCAGCCAGGGGGTGGGAGCAGGATATAGGGAATTTGCATTGATGCAATAACCTCGGTCTTGTTTGTGATTTCTATTGACTGACAAACATTACTTTCTCGTGGTGCTGTTACGTTGCAAAATTAATCACAGTTTCATTTTCTGTGTTGCAGGGAGTCCTGTACGATTTAGATAAGGTATGTTACCCTCTTCGACGCTGGTTTTGTAAGGAAGCATTATTATCCGTACGATGTACGTGGCTGGCATGGGAAACCTCTCTCAGCTAGATCTACTAGCCAGGCCAACACCATCGAGGGAGAGGTTACCAGACAATTTGATCTTTTCTTTTTTGCTTTTTTAAGAATTCAAAAAACTAGGGAAATCCCATCAAAGAAAAACTCTTTTTTGTTTAAAAATATATTAGGTACAGAAGTCAGTGAGCTCCATTGCCAGCAGCAGATTAATGGTAGTGAGGTGGGACAGCTGAGGCCAGATTCCTGGGCAATGAAACCTTGTGTGTTTTAAGGAGGAGTTTCTCAGATTCATAGGGACTAGCAAAGCTAAGGTAGCGGTGTCTTATTGATTTATTTGAATATGCCTCACCCTCTGCCTCTTCCTTTCCGTCAGCAAATCAAAGCGGTCGAAAGATACATGAGAAGGCTGGAGTTCCACATTAGCAAGGTAATGAGTGCTCCTATCATCTTTCTTCTGCATCTGCTCCTATGTTTATTAGGAAAACAAACCCTTGGCCTTCTGTTACCCCTTGATGAAGCCTCTCCCAGATTCGTTATTTTTACAGTGATGGGCTGGTGGTTGGAGCCAAAGAAAGGGTTTCCACGTGGTTTGTAGCCCCTGAGGTCCGAGACACTCCTGCCCACTTTTAGGAACAGAGAGAACATAGGGTCAGACACTTGCTGGGAAAAAATCTATTTCACTGCATGCTTATTGTTAAACTGTAGGTAGAAAGAGAGTTGCATCTGAAAGTAATTTAATTCAGCAGTTGTCTCTACTGTACGCAGCAGCTAGATTGGATTTATTCCTGGATTTCACTGCTAACACTTTTACTGCGTGGTTTGGGGCCCACATCCACTTAATTACATTGGTGAGAATATTCAGTAGAGGTACTTGTGATTTATACTAATACATTTTAGAGCTGGACAAAATCCATGTCATGTATTCTCTTACTTATAAACATATCTGCTAGCAATTAGTTGCTTTTCTGAGCCTGACAAAAGAATGAATTATTTTTGACGGATGAAATGTCTTTTGAGAGTCATTTGAAAAGCGTTTGCGCAGCTTGAAGTGCTCCAATTATGACAACCCATCCAAACCTTTTAATTTCAGTCTTCTTTTACTCTTGGAGCAAAAAAAAAATATAAAAATCATCAGGTGATAGACTGAAATTTTGTTCCACAAACAACGTTCTCTCTTGCTGGCAACATGAATGGCAAAATTAGTGCTTAAAGAACATTTCCATTCAAGTCCTTCCCACTCCAGCCTGCTCAGAGCTAATGGTTTCTGGGCTTATAATAGGACTGAAAAGCACCAAACAAGAGGTAACACTGGTCAGTATTACTCAAGCTTGCCACGTACATTAGTTCACTTTCCGTAACCCACAGCAACAGAGACAAAAGGAACCAAGCCGTGCTGCACTAAAGCTTACAGGCTTGGGCAGGTAAAGAAACATCTTTGTTTCTGATGGCAGAGAAGGTCTTTTTCAGCTGTACCGAATCAAGGCCGCGGCAGTGCGTTCTGCCATCTACCCACCGCCACTCTGTACAGGAAGCAAAGCGAGGAAAACAGGATGCGCAGCAGCAGACCCCACATATTTAGGGGGGCGGATGAGTATGTCCTGGCCACACTCACATGGGCAGGGGCAGGACATCAGCCCCAGGCTAACTCTCCACCCTGATGGAAGAAGTAAATACCAAGTGACAGCTATTTATAGTAGCTGTCTTTAGCTTGCTGATTTGCAAGAGAAATAGGAGTAGATATGACTCCAAGAAGCTTTTTTTGCAACGTTGAAATGGCAGAATGCTACCTGTGCCTCCGTTATCCTTTGCTGAACTCTTTCACTTTGCTAAGCAGTCTCTGTTTTGGTTTGGGATCACTCAAGTCAGAGGCTTCGGCCATTGGGAATCCCAGCTGGCCTTGTAAAAGTTGACATAACACTTTGAAGCTGTCAGGAAGACCAGTCCCGCTACAAAAAAAACCACTATTGAGCAGCAAGCACTACGGGGCACAGTGTGATTGCTTGATGTTAGAGATAACAAAGGAAAAAAGTTATTCTAGGTAAAAAACAAGTATCGTCCTATCTTAGCAGGGACAGTAGAAGCAGAAGGAAGATACAGCTTCCTCTATTCCTTTCCTTCTCCTCACCCTGATAAAGTCAGATTAGAAAACCTACATCTCCTGTTTCTGGCAGATTAAGTTTATATAAATAAATACCACTATATATAGCTGGTGTGTATATATATATATACACACACATACATGCACCAGCTATACCACTGTAGACTCCCACTGAACAGCTCAGATGGAGTAAATGTATACGTTCAGTGCAGGGATCAGAGGGAAAAGGGAAATCAAAGCATGAGACACACGTAAATCCATTGCACTCTGAAACTGGGTTCAGGTGAGACTTTAAACTGTGTGTGAGTAAGTTTTGCAAAACTGCCAGAGTGCTTACAAAACGTTGGGTGCCTAAGTCATGCCAAAGGACTTTGAGAAGATGACTAGGAAATTATGTGAATGCTTGTGGAGCCGAAGTTCAAAACTTCATTAATTTGACATCAACTGTTTCTAAGTCCTTTACTTGTGTTAATTCTGTTTGTGACTCGCAGTTTCTGGAGGATAGGCAGTGAGAATTTAAAAAAAAAAAAGAAAAAATCACTCCCTGCTTCCAATTTTACCTATTAGTCACATATTGCAACAGCCTTGATCCACAGCTGCTGTTAGCAATACAGGAGACCATGCTGGCCCTGTTAAATGTACCTTTTAATGTGTCCAGTCCTCTTTGGCATTGTGGATGTTGCAGTTGCCTTTGAAAGAGCTCTTCCACACCGATGAATTTGAGAAGCTTGCTGCATGCCTGCCCTACCATTACGATAGTACTAGTACAGAGCCCAGACAGGGAAAGAAGGGAGTAGCAATGGTTAAAGGCGCGCAGGGCAGGCAGGTGAATTGCTGGCAGCATCTGGTCTTGCTGTAACGAGATTTTGACAGTGGAAGCTATTTTTATCTTGTGATTCTTTTTCACAGACTGTAACAGTATCACAGCTTCATTTGCTCACCCCTTCCAATGGATCTAACAGCTTGGCTTAGTTTCCTTGTAATGCAAATGACTTCATTGTTTGTTGGTTTTATTTTGTTGGGTTTTCTCAGGTTTTTTTTCAATGCACGCTCATTGTTCCCACTAGGTGGATGAGCTTTATGAAGCCTATTGTATCCAAAGACGTCTCTGTGATGGTGCCAGCAAAATGAAGCAAGCCTTTGCAATGTCTCCTGCCAGCAAAGCAGCTCGAGAGAGTTTAACTGAAATCAACAGGAGTTACAAGGAGTACACAGAGGTACGTCCTCATCAGTTTAGTCTTTTGCTCTCACACAGTTTGAAGGCCATGGGAACTTTGCCACTGATTTTCACTGAGAATTTCATTCAGATAAAAGAGTTAAAAACAAATGCAGCAAAGAAGAATTATTATTTATTTGTTTGTCTTCAGGTGAATATCTGATGACTTACAAAGACAGGTTGCATGGGCCCAAAGAGTTCCTTGAAATAATAATGTTTATGTTTGAGAAGAGCAGGATTATACCCAGGAATTGCTGCACATGAAAAAAAAGCATAAATGTGCCCCAAACCTACATATATTCTACATATGTGTATATATATATATGTGTCTTTCCCACCCCATGGATTTTGGGATGGCAGGTTGGCTGGCACCCATGTGTGTACAGACGTGTGCTGCATCCCCTCCAGTTCTACTTGCTGTGCTCAGCATCAATGTTATTAAACAGGCAGCAGATGAAGAAAGGTCCAATAGCGTTGCAAACATCCCAGCACACAAGCTGTGACAGCCTTCCGAAATCTGAAGGAAGAACTAGTGAGGGTCTGTTACCTGTCCCCCCGCAGTCTTTTTTTTTCTTAACATAGTTCATGTTTCTCGAGAGATTAAAAACATGCTGGGAGCCACTTTGGCATGGAGCTGCTGCTGGCACGTGTCCTGGCTGGAGACGACTGGGACAGTGACTGGGTTACGCTTCAAGGGCCACAACCGCCCTCTGCCAACGGGAGGATTAGAGCGCAAAGAAGAAGAGCACGGGGTTACATTCAGCTTTGGTGCGAGCAGGCATAGCTCAGCTGCCATTTTTAGGGCCAGACCTAGCTAAAGAGCGAGGATGGCTCTGGTAGATTGATTTTATTGCAAAATATCTTTCATCTGCATAACACAATCTTTCCTTCCAAATAGACCTTAAAAAAAAAGAAGAAAAGGAAAAAAAAAAAGAAAAGAAAGAGGGTTTGTCTGACCTCCCTGTTCTATTTTCCAACACAGAACATGTGTACCATAGAAGCAGAGCTGGAAAACCTATTGGGGGAGTTTTCCATCAAGATGAAAGGTAATTGTCTTTTCACCTTTCCCTTCTTTCTCCCTGAATGGTAGCGGTCTCTTTGCACATTAGTGAGGGCATCATGACATGCATTTATGGTAGGTGTGGTTTTCCCCCACCGCACCCTCTGCTGAGCCTTCATACCCCCAACTTACACCCCTGCCTGGTAGAAAGGATCACAGAGCCAGGAACATCAAAGCTTACAGAGACACTTTCTGAGATGCTGCTTCTTATTTTCAAGGCTAATTACTTCCCTCAAATACTCCTCGCAACAGCCAAAGCAATTCAATTTTGAAGGCTGCTGTACCTTTTGCCTCTATTTCCATAATCCTTTAAGAAGATGACTGGGAAATTAGGTGAATGCCATGGAACTGAAGTTCGAAATACTTTCTTAATTTGACATCAACTGTTTCTAAGTCCTTTACTTTTGCTGATTCTGAGTACTACTATTTTTGAGCAAATGTACAAAAGCAAAGACCTGGGGGTAGTTTACCATTTAAACACCTAGATAACTCAGTGGTGGTATTTACCTTTCAGTTTACTCCCTGTCTTTATGACAGGGGACTTTATGGGTTTGAATACAATGGAATCGGTTTTACCTGAAGCCTCAGTGAATCGCCAGGTATTGCTAATTCCATTATCCCTTTAACACTCAATGTCTTAAAGAAGAGATTGTGGGGGGATCTTTTTTGGATCTTCAATCACTGCCATGAAAATAGTTCTATAAACCAAAATCGGCACCTAAATATTCACGTACTCTTAATTCTTCACTTGAAATCCTGCCATTTAAAATATCACAGTATTGCTAATGGAGTTTTTAGAGCTCACAAATCTCACACAAGGTTTTGATTCTGCATGCCTTGTCACAGTTGTGAGTTAGTTGTGTCCCAGGGTTGCAGTGCATGAGACATGATCTAGCTTAGATCAAGTTAAAATAGTTACTCCATGCTTCCATACTAGAGATAACGAGTGCAGCAGCTGTTTTAGTTCTCCTAGCTCCATCCCACAGCACCAAACTTCAAGTTTAAAAGCTCCCACTCTTAGGTACTGGAAAGGCAATCAAAGATGGATAGATGTAAAGTTACGGAATGGACACACAGAGCCTGAGACAGATATTTCTATACAAAAACCCACAGCAGAACTGCAGCGTGGTCACGCTGAAGGAAACACGAGGTCATGCGGGGAATTGCATCAGGCCAGGTCCCTCAGAGCGTTTCCTTACTTGCTGTAAATGCAGTGCGATGTACAGTTCCTGACAGCAGGACATGCTGCAGAAGGTGTCATGGCATCGCAAATGACTGGTCCCTTCTCTTTTGAATGCCCAAATCCTCCAGCAAAGCTCAAGAGCTCTTGAGAAGCCAGGTGCTGCACTCACATGCAGGAGCAGAGCACAAACCACAAACAACAGCTACTTTTGAATACAGTTCTCGTGACATAAAGAAGCCCAAATTGGAAAATAGCAAAGAAAAATGTTATATCATTAAGTATTCTCTAATTAGGACATCTAAGATTTCTATCTATCTAGATAGTTTTCTCTAGGAATAGGAATCCAGTAGCACAATCCAGCCATTGCTATTGCTAAAGCTCACAACAGCTCTAGCACAAAAGCCTACAGATCATGCAGCAAGCTTCCCCCTTATGTTACACGGCAGCACATCCAGCTAACTTTAGGATCTAATTTACAATCAAAGCATTCCTCTCCCCAAAGCATATCTGTTCCTAGCCATTCCAGTGGAAGTTATTTTTATTTTGTGCCCTCTGTCACTTACACTGAAAGTAAGCCAATGTACACAGTGCTGACAGGAAGCAGGAGACCCACACTGTGTTTTTATGACTGATATTTAAAAAAAAAAAAAAAGCATCATCATTTTTCAAAATGAAGATAATAAACTTACCAGCAGGCTTTGATTACTGTTCAGGAGTAATCAGCTGTTGAAATTAAACAGGAAAACCCAGTGTGAAAATTTAGAACTCCCTGTATGGAATCTGCATGTCCTGTTATGATGTATAGGGAAGTGCCAGGACAGCAGGAAGTGAAATGCCCACCTGTTTCGCACAGGGAGAACGATACGCTGGCCTAACGCACCAGGGGCTCTGCAACACCAAGCCCAGCGCAAGCACCAAAGTCCACACGTCCAGCATGCTGCACATGAGCAGAGCTATACGTGCTGCATGAACTGATGCCTTCAGGTGGCCCTGCCACCTTGCCACAGCCACATAATGGTCTTATCCCCTAATTGCTTATGCTGAAGCCCCAGGAGCTACCTCCCATCTCATAGTTTCACAGAGTCACAGAATGGCAGGGGTTGGAAGGGACCTCTGGGGATCATCTAGTCCAAATCCCTTGCTAAAGCAGCATCACCTAGAGCAGGTTGCGCAGGATCGCGTCCAGGTGGGTTTTTAGTATCTCCAGAGAAGGAGACTCCACAACCTCTCTGGGCAGCCTGTGCCAGTGCTCGGTCACCCTCACAGTGAAGTTTTTGCTCATGTTCAGATGGAACTTCCTGTGTTCCAGTTTGCACCCATCTGCATTACAAGCCCAGGACAGTGCTTTTACAAAGGCTTGACATTTGAAATGGTACAATAGAGCCATCGGCTCCTACCATACATTTAGTCCCTAAGTGCCACTCAGTTACCAAAAAGTACCTATATCCCCTGTAATCACGTCAGCATTTAGCCCCCTCTTCATCAGGATCAAGAGACTCGACCAGCGCTGACCACTGCAGGAACTCAGTTCCAGGTTCTCCTCTCCTGCCCCTTCCTGCTGTGTCTCTCTGCCCAAGCCACTGCCTCCACAACGTCCATATGGAGTTTTAAGCTGTGTTTCCCCGCTCACCCTCCCACCCCATCCACTGAGCAAAGAAAGGACCTTTTATTTTCCTCAGATACTTACAGTGATGTCCCAGCAGAGATCAAATTCACTTACAAAAGCATGCCTGGGGAGAGAGAAGCAGCAGTGGAGTGCTAGTAAGCTTAAATTATTTATAAACAGTAAATAAATTAGAAAGGAATTGGTAATATGAGCTCTGCACAAGGGCCTCTCTGTTCTGCTAAACAGTAAGATGAGTGAAGAAAACTGGTTTTTGGTCAAAGAAATGGAAGAGGAGGATCTGCAGACCACAGGAACAGGCCATGACTGCATGCAGGGGCCTAGTTGATCCTGCAGTCCAGCTAGCAGGACTAATTCAGCCCAGTAAATAAAGCCAACATTAACATTCATCTTACTTGCCTTGATTTTAACACACTCATATATGTTCAGCCGTGGCATTTTAGGATAACTGCAGCCCAAAGACCCCAGAAAGTTTGTTCTCGTTCCTTTTTCTGCCACAGGCTTTGTATGTGTCCTCAAACTGGTTTCTTTGGGCGTTGCAACACTAGAGGCATAGTTTTAGGCTTACCCAGCAAAGCTGGGTAAATTTTTATACCAAAACAAGTGCAGTAGCCACCTACTGAGGAGATCTGTGAGAAAGGAGAGATTCTCTCTGTGGAGGCAGAGGATTACATTAATGGAAACCAACTAGTTGCATCCGGTAGAAATACAGGTCACAAGGCCAGGAAAGGGACTGGTAACGTCCTTGGGATTTCAGGATGGTCACAAGCCTCAGGAAACTTTCCATTTCATATGCGCAGTGCCAATATAAAAATAGCATCATCATGCCCTGCCTTTAAAAAAAATAAAAATAAAAAATCAAGCAAGCATATACCACAAGTGTTTTGCTGCACAACTCCCCTTCTGGGGAAGGATGGGATACATCTCCTGTTACAGGTGTCAGTCGTGTTTCTTGATGTACTTACTATTGAAAGATACTTGGATCGTATGGAAATGATAATGTTATGGAAATGCCAAACAGAGGAAGTCCCTCTTGTGTTTCTATTAAGATGTACTAAAAAGGAATCTGTGTTAAAATGTATAGCTCAGTCTGGTTAGTGTTAAGCAGCAGGCACTACATGGTAATCAGCAGCTCGCCTACGCATCATGATAGTAAGGGTGCTAAGCTCAGCTTCTGAAGCCAGATGACATCAGGAAGCTCTTTCTTCTTTTGCTATAATTATAATACAAAAGTAAACTTTTGAGCTCTCGTACAAAAAAAAGTCAGAAGGTGCAAATCTTTGATATGCAAGAAACCATAACCCAATGAATTGTATACCA